GGGGTCTCCCCCCGGGCGGGCGGTGGCCAGGGCAGCAGCGAGGGCAGGGCCACGGCGGGCGAGAGCCCCCAGCGCCGCCCCCACCCCTCCAACGTCCCCTCCTCGYGCCCGGGCGAAAAGTGTCACCAGCTCCTGGCTCACCTGCGCAGGGGGACACTCAGATGGACTGGGAGGGACTGGGAAAGGACTGGGGGGCACAAAAACGGGACTGGGAAGGGCAGGGGGTGTTACTGGGATACACTGCGATGGATCTGGGGGGGCTGAGGGGTGATGTGGGGGACTGGGATGCACTGGAATGAAGAAAAAAAGAGCACTGGGAACAGACTGGTCTATASTGGGAGGCACTGGGACTGAAGATCGGTGGAAAGAGCCTGGGGATGAACTGGGCTGTACTGGGATTGGCTGGTGGGGGCTGCTGAGAACATCCTAGCCCATACTGGTTGATACTGGGAGCATCTGGGAAGGGACCAAGAGTACCAAGAGGGGACAAAGGTCACTAAAAGATGCCGAGAAGAGCCTGAGGACAAACTGGGCTATACTGGGAGTGATTGGAGGAGGCTGGGTGGCTGCTGGGAGCACACTGGTCCATACTGRTCTGTACTGGGAGCCCACCTGCTGCAGGCTGCCGTCCTCCACCACYGTGTCGAACTCATTGTCCATCACCTCGGCCAGGAAATCCTCCACCTCCTCCTGCTCCAAGTCAGCTGGGGAGGGATTAGKGGGGTGTCACCGCTGCCCCTCCTCCCACCAGACCTTGTCCCCCACTCCCCCGTGGGTTCCTCGGGGTGAGGGAGGGGTGGCACTCACCGTTCTGGGTGAAGAAGTCGAGCAGGGCCGAGCTGAGCCAGGCGGCCTTTTCGGGACCCTGCGGCCCCCCGAAGCCCTGCGCCACTGCCAGCTGCGGGGACACCCCGGGASAACATGAGGACACCTCGCAGTGGCCCCGGCGAGCCCCAAACGGTTGCCCCTCCCCGCCGATCCCCCGTGGGTACCTCCCCCAGGCTGTCACAACCCCCAGTGTCCCCCGTGTCCCCCTGGGGAGTCCCTCCGATGTCACTTGTGCCTCCTTCAGTGTCCCCCAATAACACCCCTGTATCTCTAGCGCCCCTCCTGCTTCTTCAGGTGCCCTCCCGTATCCCCGAGTGCCCCCTCTGTGTCCCCAACCACTCCCCGGGGCCCCCCGACCTCCCTCCCGCCGCTCCACCCTCACCTGCAGCGCCGCCCACCCCTCAGCACAGCCTGTACCTGTCCCCAGAGCCCCCCACCGTGTCCCCC